GATTTCACTGAAGTGTCCACAGTGAAGGGAGTGAATAGCAGCTATGTTGGGTGAAATGTCCAATCCTTCTTGGATTCTTTTCTTGAAAACCTTTAGTAGAAGCTTGAGGATCAGAGGATGTAGGTTCATGGGGAAACGCAGACAGAAATGGCACGCTCTCCATCGAGGAAAACAATAAAATAGATACACTTTGATACACTTTGTAAGCATCCCTGCTAGCGTGGTATTCTTTCCTACTCGTCATGTTGCCTCAAAAACTCGTTATTTGAAGGATTGTCGCTCAAAAAAGCTCAGTATATTTTGGAAACTTCTAACTTCACTCCTTCGCTTGTGAAAAAAACAACGCGCGTGTTATTGCCAGAAATGAGACTGGACCGAGTATAAACCGAGATGCCCAACTTCCGGTGGAGTCCCCAGGCAAAAACAATCACAGACATGCGCAGAAGGGACTGTAACCTACCTTTAAAAGAATGGGGGCCAAAAAACACCCAAGACAGTGAAGTCAATCGAATGTTTAATATTAAAGTAGAGCGACTGGAGGGATATCGATCTGCAGAAATGATAAACAACTTCGACATAGCTGTAGGAATTAAGTCAAGAAGGCATCCTCTCACAAGCACAAATCTTAGGAGAAAATGTTATTTTATGTGATCTCTTGGAATTGAAACCATTTGCAATCAACAATAGGGTATATGATCACTTTCATGAAGGTTTCTTCACAGATATATCATCAGATACATTAGCAGCATTATAGACAAATTGTCGCTGCATTTGAATTGTGATTTGACTGACTATAGCTAAACAAACACAAGACTAGAGGATATCGAACATTCACCAAGCACGTACCAGTGGACACATCAGAAGATGAAGAGGAATTATGACTGTGAATACTGTAACACTTGCACGAATAAGCAACAATGATTTGTATGGCTGTAGCACAGGCTACCAAGACTACCCTGCTTCAAATTAAAGGATTAATAGATGCACAATTTGCACTTGTCCTATACCTGTACAGGGTGTATAAAAAAAACGCAACCTCGGAATTTCCCAAGAAATCGACATTGTTTTAAAGACAAAAGATTTTAGGCCCCTGGGAATTTAAAATAGCACAACTGCAAAATTACTGCACACGCGAGTGCACAAAACAAAATTTATGCATTTATTTAATGCACAACAACAGTAATGTGATCTATTAGCAATTCGATTTCAATTCCCAGGGGGCTAAAATCTTTTATGCTTAAGAATTGCAAAGTGATTTCTTAGGAAATTCCGAGGTTGCGTTTTTTTTATACACCCTAATTTGATAATTTAATAAAATACCGATTTGTAACCTATTAGGTTAAATTACATCAGTAAAAAGTCTCATTATACTACAATAGAATATCTAGATGCATAAAATTATTCATAACTTCAGTTAAAAAAGTTATAGAGTTCAAATTTAAAAATATTAAAAATATTAAAATTATGGTCTATTCATATGTGAAACCATCTGTGGAAAAAACGATTTCATAAATCTGTCCGTTTTACAACTATAGTTATTATAATCGCTTCCATAACGTGTATTATAGTTATGTTCAAGTTTAGGCGGTAAGAGGTCACCCAATTTGTCTCCATGTGCATTTTTAACAAAAAACGTTCGCATAATAATCGCCGCCGATCTTTCAGTAAGGGTATACCAGTAATACTGCAAGCTTCTCTATAAGTAGCGAATGGCAAGACAATACGCAGAGCCCGCTTCTGGAGTTTTTCGATATCTTCACTTAGGTATTCTGTAATATTGAAGTGCCAAACTTGGCAGGCATATTCGTGTACTGGTCTGATAATGGTGCAGTATACCAAAATTAGAATGCTATTGTCGGCATTTGATCGTTTTAACAACCTTAGCATATAAAGGCGTTTTCCCGCTTTTTTAACAATATGGTTCACATGCTCGTTCCATTTCAAATCATCTTGGATTGAGAGACCAAGAATTCGGGCAGATTTTACCCGCTCAATACCAACGTTATTTATAGTTAACGGTAAAACCTCATGTTTTTCTCTTGCAAAGTCAATTACCATTTCCTTACATTTGCCGATGTTGAGCTTCATATTATTAACTTCACACCAATTATAGATAACATTCACTAGATCTTGTAGTTCACTACTCTCAGTTGATGTAACTCGTTCAGCAAACGTACTGTCATCAACATACTTCCATCTATCGCTCCAATCAATAAGAAGATCATTTATCATAACAAGGAACAAAGCCGGCCCTAACACCGACCCTTGCGGCACTCCACCGTTTAACGTTTGCCAGTCCGAATGACAGTTAGCCAACTTGACTCGTTGTTTACGATCAGAGAGAAAACTTCTAATCCAATTTATAATGGTTCGGAAAACACTCATTTGTTGTAGCTTATTCACCAGTATGTTGTGATCTATTCGATCAATAGCTTTTTCAAAATCAAGCAAGAATACTCTCACCGCACTCAGGAGGGGATGGATCAGGCTCAGTAGGGCATGGGTAGCCGAGGAATTTTTAACGGAGCCAAACTGCCGCGTATCAATCTTTGCACCAATTGACTTAAGTAACCAGTCTGTAACAAACCGTTCGCAAATTTTGGATAAAGTGGGGGTAAGTGAGATAGGGCGCAAATCTTTAGAAGCAATGATGAAGCAATTATTCTCAGTGACCTGAGGCAGATAAAACATTTTATGCTATTTCCTGGAAGGAAATATAAATCATTTTTAAACATTGACGAAGACAACTTGAAATCACTAAATAGAGCTGACTTTACAACATGCATGGCTATTGCAGCACAAGAAGAATCTGGTTCTTAACACTCCTCTGCAACTTGATGAAGGTAATGAACAAGATCAGGAAGATGATGAACAAGATCTGGAAGATGAAAATAACTTAACCATTTAGGCCATTAAGTGTCAATCTGGCGTTAGACAGAGTAAAACTATGAAGGGGGAGAATTGCATGTTAGTGGGTTAATTAACAAGTTATATTGGCATAAACGTATTCCCTAAACTTAATCTTCCAAGGCTTCAAATTTGCAGTATCTAACAGCACACTAGCAACTTAAAATCTGGTATCCATCCAAAAATCTAGTATCTCACATTTGGATAGTAAATTATTTTTGTATTGCGACCAGAATTTTTTTCATTATCTCTCTTGATACTGAGCTTGTCATTTCCAGTATCCAAATTTAAAATCTGGTATCTCAAATTTGGAGTCCTGATCCGGCATCCCCCATTTCATACGTTAAATTTTTCAGTGTTTTTCAGTGTCATACTGTAAGGCGGTGTTCTTAATTAATGTATGTATAATATACTGTATGGATAAAATATGCACTCATGAGTTTGTCATACAGTGCTCATCCACAGAACTTGTGGTAGCTATTTGATAGTCGTAATAAACTTTGTTGGTGGATGTTTTATTCAAATTACACACAAATTATGCTATTAACATGTAACATTGTATAACACCATGTAACATGCAAGATGCTAAATCAAGTAACTACAGTACATAACAATGTGCAGTACCATCTAATTAACAGTGTATAATAATACTTATGTTACAGTAATGTAAAATAATGCACGCAGTATCCATGTTATATGTACAATGTCACACTTGTAACCCAAAATTCTGTTATGTGTGCAAAACGCAAATGGTTAAGTTTGCTTAAGGCCATATGTTACACAAGGCATTGTTGTTGCAACTTGCAATGTAATTTTGGATACAGTGCCATGTTATCTGAAAAGTCGTCGCAAGGAAATTGTCAACATTTCCCATATTCTACTCTGGTAACACTTTGTTTACATGACATTACTCTTAGGGGTGAAATATTAATACTAGAGAAATGGGACAAAAAATGTCGGTAGAATAAACCATGGGTCATGCTCACAATTTATCTGCGACTGCTGTTTAGATAACATGCATTGGTCAAAGGGTGGGTTGACTACAAAATTTTTGTAGTTCGCTATAACTACAGCTACTTTAAAAATATGTAATCAGCTACAACTACTGCTACTTTTGAAGAAAGATAGTCCGCTACTGACTACAGCTACTGCTTAAAAAATGTAGCGAACTATTTCGCTATTTCGCTACATTATATTTTTTAGTTTTACTATATTTGGAGCATCTACTAAGTACTAACTCAGGCTGTAATGTAATCTATAACAAATCGACTTACGAGTAGCAACAGTAAACACAAAGCAACATTTTTGTAAGCACTACAGTGTTCAGGAGTGCAAATGGACTATTGAGTACTGATTTTAAGCAAACCGTGTCTCAATATCATGCTATTCTATCAAGTTGCTAACAATTTTAAAAAGTAGCGAATAGCGATTCGCTGTTTGAAAAGTAGTTAACTACTTGGCTACTTTTTGGCAAAATGTAGTTCGCTATAACTACAACTACTGTTTTAAAAAAGTAGTCAAAAACTACTGGCTACTTGAAAATTGTAGTTCGCTACAGTAGCGAACTACAACTACTTCGCTACAACCCACCCTTGCATTGCTCTATGTCAGAAATTGCATTGCAAGTTGCAGCAAACATTGCCTCGTGTAGCATGGCCTTTACAGATATTGCCAACTTATTCTGAACTTCATTCCGAAGTTTGTTCTTTTAATTTATGAACCAATCAGAGCCTTTGCTTACAAACTGGTTTGTGAATTTCAAATAAACTTTTGAACTTTGCATTGAACTTGCAAACTTCACAACAAAGTTTAGAATATTTTGGCAAAAGTTATGTGAAAATTTCTGGAACACAAAAATGACTTATGAAAATGACAAAAATGCCTTTTCAACATACAGTACTGTATGTGAATATTCACATTGTGTATGAAATAAGGTTGCGCTCAGGGCACTGGCAATATATTGAGCAAAATGAACAACATTCATGACCAACCATCACACTTACTGGATTTCCACATTGTAAATATTTTAATAAAAAGTTCCGTAGACACTTATGTTCAGTCTGACAGTAAGCTCGCATATCTGCTCCGATATGTCAGTTCTTTCCAATATCTCTGTTATTGTAGTAAAGAACTGCTTTAGACTGAAGTCCATCTCGCCCATCTCTTCCTGTTTCTTGGAAGTATTGTTGAATGGATGCAGGTGGTCCAGCATAAATAATTTCTCGAATACATGGAATATCAACGCCCATACCAAGGGCCACTGTTGCAAAAATAACTCGAATTGTTAAAGACATAGATTTCACTTGGTTCAGAATCATTTCTTTTGTTGCCGAGGTTTGTGGTGCATGGTACTGTGTGCAAAAATTCGTCGCTCTGGAATGGAGTCTGAACCAGGTGGGTGCATGTATTGTGCTTTACCAATAATACTTTCAAACAACTTATATGCAAACCCACACCATTTTAGTTGTAAATATATAATGGTTAAAGGATATTTCACGTTTATTTCCTTTAACCTTTCAGCAACTGGCCTGAGTATATGTTCATAAGATGTCACCTCATCACTTTCTCGTAGGAGTTTACTGTAAAAAATGTTACTTCCGTTTGGACTAGCAATTACTTCAATGGGGTTTTTCATGATAACGGAATCCTTAATTTTTACCCTGTCTATGCCATTTGCAGTAGCTGTAAGGGCAATCATCACCGCATTTGGAAAAAAGGCACCCAATATTCGTAGTTGAGGATAATCCGTTCTGATTTCATTGCCCCAGAAAATTAGAAAACACAGGAAGAATATTGATTGACAAACCTTTCATATTAATATTTTGAATGTTGGAGAGTATTTCAATTTGAAGTAATGGAAATACTATTGATTTGGTTATTTTTGTAAACAGTGATAATTAATAAACCTTGAGTAAAAGTAATCACAACTTTTAACAGTCGACAAGGTCCTAATTTAAAAACAAAATACAGGCTTGCCCGATGCTTCAAAAAGCACATGTTGTGGAAAGAATTTTAATATACAGACCGAGTGAGATAGTGTGGCTACTGCTTCTAGATCAGTGGGCTAAGACAATCAGTAAATTATTACAAGTTGGCAAAGCCTAAATTGCTGAAGGTAGGTTTTACACATGTTATACTCTCAAAAAACATTAGATAACAATCATAACAGGAGATGCATACAAATTATGTACGTAACTTAATACGTATATTTGCAATACAATACATACCATTCTAATATACAATGAGCTTCGTCTACATGCAACCACAGCAGAGAAGGAATATTTATATGCATCGCTCTGAAACAGTGCGACTCCTTGTTTAGTAGACAAACAAGTTTGTGCATGTGTTAATACATATTCATAATCTGCATTTTTTAAATATAACTCGTCTACATTGGCCAAATCAAGGTTTAATTGTTGTCCAGAGGAAACGTTATCATTTCTTTTCACACTCAAGACAACCGCTCTAGTACGAACAGCGTTTATCCTTTGCAGTTGATCTTGTATAAGGGAGTTAAATGGGAAATAACAATAATGACGGGATCTTTTCCTCGAATGCCTGCCCTCCTTTTCTTTTCCGCCAGCAACGAAGAAAGCAGATGGAATATTACCGACTTTCCATAGCCGGTTGGCAAAACAGCCAAAAGATCTTTTCCAATATATGCTGCCTCTAAACACACAACTTGTTTCGGCTTTAATACAACAGACAAATATTCGCTGTTAACTACGGCAAAATGTAAACAAAGCAAGAACTCAAGACATTTAAAAATTTGAAGACTCAAACATCGCGAATGTATTTTGATCAGTCTTCAAGGTTTTACCAACCAGACTATATAAGCTCAAATTACATGCATTGAAAAGTACCACCCCTCCCAGGGGACATATTTGTGGCTCCCAAAATCCGTGAGCCACGTGACCAGCATTCACCAGGGTCTCTTCCTCCAGCGAGGAGCGTAGAGAAGAGAGCCTGAGTACGAGGTTGCCCCTTCCATTAGACACTTTACTCCTTCATGACTCTCTCCATAGATAGACATTAATTAAATAGATTCCTAATTTGCTTGTGAGGATTTTTAACTAATACCGTCGGTACTAGCGTAGGGAGAGTGACTAAAATACCAGAAAACTGTGGGGATTCAATGTGGGAAAGGCTTATGGGGATTCAACTACCTGAAAAATGCAAGTAAATCTTTGGTGTTTCGAACGAAGGCCCTTCATCCGGAAGTTATAACTTGGATCGAAAAAAACAGGTCCTGTAATTATTCTAGTGAATTGATGTAGAAGCATCGTGTGACAGAAAATGAATCAATCATTGGATTTGGTCAAAACAAACTGTAGACAAAAAATTTAAATCAGAGTACAGAATATATATTACCAAGGAAAAACACATGTGCTTTTATACTAATGAATATAAATTTCGGCGATGCTGACGTCGTTGGAATATTATTAAGAGTGTATTATTGTCAACAACAACCAAAGTGTATGCGTTCTGGTGACAAGAAACCACGAGTAATAATATAACGAATCATATAAGGATTCCCAAAAACATTTTAATGCACTTTGAATCGGAGTATGGATATAAAACTCACGATCAAGAACAACAATAAAATCGCCATGCCGTTTCGTCGCAGAATAATGTTGCTTGTTTTGTTCGTGTCGCGTGAACTTGCGCCTGCGAATACATGTACGCGCATGTCAATTGGTTGATCCTGCAGAAGGCAAAACCTTTGGCAGCGCCGAATGTAGACATACAAAAACTTGATTATTGGAAAAACGAGTTCGGTAAGGTACCCTGAAATTTTGCATAGTAATAGATATATACGCGCTAAGCGTATAGTAACAGAACAATTAGGGCTTTATTTTCCCCCTTTTTTATAGATATATGAAGAAAGTAATTCATATAAGGGTTCTCTTGCATTCTATAACGCTGTGTATGAATTTCTTTAAGTTCAGGACAAGCATGCGTCTGTTACTATAATAAATAAACTCCGAAAATTTTGGACGAACTCATTCGGTATCAACAATAGAAGAATTTTTTGTATTTCGCCATACGTTCATATGAGAAAAGCGATTTTAAAGTTTTTGCATATAATATTATTAGAATTACTTATATACAACAATACAATTATTTCTCGGTTTAGGATACATTTTTGCACTATTATAATCAGTATTTTGATTACCAGTACTTAATACCTGAGAAAGGGTGGAACATTAGAAATAGAGAAACTAGATCCATTAGAAACATAGTTTATAATTTTAAAATAGGAACTGATCGTTTTAAGAAATAAGAACAGTCCACTTGTCTATGCTATTTTAAGAACAGTCCACTAGTCTTTGCTATGCATGATAAATACAATAATAATATGTAACTATAATACGTTCCTACTAGATGTAGATAAATATATTTTTCAAATAGTTTTTATTAGTAACATTTTAATAGATTTATTAGTAGTACCTATGTAAATACATGACAATTAAGTTATCTTATTCCATGTATACTATGTATATTAAATCCCAGAATTATTGTTCATTGTATGCGTGCGTTCTCATAGGTCTCAATAAGCCATGCACAATGCAATTTTCCTTATTCTATCCTTGCGGTACGTTTGGTATTCAGGCATAGGATAGAATGAATCAAGAACTTTCGAGAAGCAAAGCGTTTCGGTTAAGATCAAGATATCCAGTTTGTTATTTGGTTATTAAAACATCGCTCTGATCACTTCTATACCCATGTAAAAACGCTCAAGTTGTAACGAAGCTCCAGCAGATTTGTAGCAATGCCGTTGCAATAAACCTGTCAACACGATTTGTTCGCACTGCTTGTTCCCAGCCTGCTGACAAGCTGACAATGACTTGATGCGTGACAACTTGCTAGAATTTGGTTTCAACTGCAGTTGATAGTTACCAGTTATTACAACAATTGCAGTACTTATTGCCGTCCTGTAATTTAACAATTTGTCAGACAACAAGTTATGAGTGACAACCTTGTAGCAACTTGATAAAATATATATATATTTGGTTTAGTAGAATACAATTTCTAAACTATTTGATATCTTTTATTTCATTCTTGGGATATTTGAGTCGGTTCGATATGAAATTGCAAAACGTCCTAATTGTTCTCTTCCTAATTGTTCTCTGAAAGCGATAAATTGAATGAATAGGATGCATGTATATCTTCAATATTTTTTCCACGGTGCACCTGCTCAACGAACGTAAAAATTAATTGTATTCAGAATTGTTGGTTGCCCAGCCGTTCTGCATTAGTTTGAAAAAAGCGCGCATGACCCGTGGGCATAATTTTAGTTTATTCTTCTAAATTAAATACACACTGAAAGTCAAAAGGAATATGCAGCAAGAAAAGCAAAGTTTAGTTTTTGAAGCTTCAGATCGTTATTGATGACATAAGTGTTTTGAAGAACGGTTTAAGACCAGAGGCGCCAGAACAAACGCCTTTCATCTTTGAAATGCCGCTGCCACTCATTTGCGTCGCTTAACTTTAAACTGCAACCTTTCTTAATGTACTTTTAATTACACAACAAATAAACACGGCAGTGATTAATTAAGAGGGAGTATTAAGATGTAGGTGTTCACTTTGACTAAGCTTATTCGTTTTTACAGTCAAATATGAATAGCAGCTCACTTGATAGCTACCTTAAAAAATGTTATATTTTCCGGAAAACACAGTTGTTGGTTACGGATTTTCCATCCAGTAATTATGAATTTATTCAAATTGTAACCATTATCCCCGGGGGCATCCTAATTTTTCCGACAATATTATTGAATCTCGTTGCTATACTAACAATCCTTAAATCCCATCAACTAAAGAACAAACTTTGCTATTTTTTAATACTCATACAGTCCGTTGTCGATTTGGGCGTTGGAATCCTTGGTATGCCCCTTGGTATCTACTACGTTGTCACTCCGTTCCTGGCCTCTCAAAATTGCGCTGTTATCGTCGGAGCTTTAAAACTATCTGTGATACCTTCAGCTGTATCCATATTTACATTGTATGCCATGACATTTGAGAGAGATATGGGCGGATTACATCCATATAAGTATGCGACCTTACTGACAAAAAATAGGATTAAAACCTTCTTTTTATTCGGCGTTGTAGTATCAACAACTGTAGTTGTCTTGTCATTCTTTTTTGCCAGAGATATTCCACCCTTCTTACAGGTTTTACTCTCATGTCTTATCATGTTTACTGGTTTATTTGTTTACACGAGAATATACAGTATCTTGTGGTAAGAAAGTTACAACGTTCTGAAGCGAGGCCAGCTCCCCATCCAAACGACGAAAATCGAACCAGAAAGAAACTATTTCTTCGCGAGATCAAGTATGCCAAATCTTGCTTCCTTGTAGCGGTTTGTTTGGTTTTCTCATTCATACCGGCTATAAAGTCTTTTGTGTTTTTGAAGATGTTTGGTCAAAGGCCGGATTTCAATGTATACTTTTCTTGGTCGCTAATTGCCATCGATTTTACCCTGGTTGCCAGAGGCTCTGTATCTTTCGCCTTATTCCCGCTCGTATTTATTTTACGCGCGGCGAAGAGAACCTCTGGTGGGACGCGATACAAATCTCTCTTCCATGCTGACGTTGCCGTTTGAGAACTTGCAAAACCGGTTTTATATTTTGTGACGTTTTGAAACTTCCGGGTTTGTCATACTACCACTCCAATAGCTCTCTTCAGACCTTGTGTGTAAAATTGATATTAAAAATAAGCAGCCCAAACATGCAGATTATTCGTAAGAATTATGTAGATGATTCTCACAAAAGCAAAAAGCAACCTTTATTATATAATTACTGATTGTTAAATTTGTGGAATAAAAAAATGCCGTTTGTATTAGCGAACGTATAAAGTCAAAAGTGAAAGAATATAAATATATAAATATTTATATATTTGTGCAACGGAGCCAGTATGTAGCTACGTTTCCTTAACAGACAATGGGAAAATATTGGCAAAATAAATCATATTAATAACTATTAAAGTCGAAGAATTACCAAAATTTAAAACTTTGAACGATATAAAGCAAGTGACCAACACTTTATATTTTACAAATATTAATACTGTAACTGAGTGAACATGTCATGCCGTCAACTCAAGTGATGCCGCGATGGCAGCTCTTCTCCAGCGCAGAAAATCTTTTTATAGCGGAACAAAGTATAAGTTAATCTCAAATATAAACCCACACCAAGTAAAGCATTTTAATACGTTCGTATTATTTCTGTATTTTGTTTACATCATGTTCTCTGAGATTTATAAACAGGTTTTTTTGTCTAGCCAATCACATCACTTCATGTGACTGCTAATTATAACTAACCAATCATGTGCTTGGTACAAATTTTGTACCAAAGGAATAGAGATTTGTATCGCGTGCCACAAGAGGTTTTCTTCGCCTCGCGTAAAATAAACACGAGCGGGAATGAGGCGAAAGATACAGAACCTCTGGCAACCAGGGTACATCGGTTTGTACTCCTGCTTCAATTCGATAATATTCTTTTGGTCAAAAACCGTATTGAGAAAAGAAGCCATTAAGATTTTGAAAGCTTGCTGTCATTTACCAGGAGAAAATTGACAGGATTAAAGAGGAAGGTTTGAGAATGTCCAATTTCTTCGCATCATTAGAACACTGAATTGTAACTCAATCGCAAGAGTCACTGCATGGGGTTTGCAATTGATACAAATTATTAGGAAGGTAGCCTATACAATGTACGATGGTTTATAACAAATTTATATTCCAAAAGTAATGATGCGAAAGGACTTTTGCACAGGTATTAAATGAATTCCCTTACAGAAAACGATTTCAGGTATGAAAATTTTATATATGAAATCGTTATGTGGAATGGAAACAACTTCATATATATGTTTGCGATGTTACTCTGAGTGCATATCCACACCGGGCGAGCTTGAAAAATATGCCCGGCCACGGTGGGATTCGAACCTACGACCTTTGGAATACTAGTCCAATGCTCTTCCAACTGAGCTACGCGGTCAGGACGGTTCGAGTAAGTGATATTTCGGAACAGTATCTGGTTCCTTCAATACCAATGTGTTCTTGTAATATGAATTTTTTCTGTGCTGGTGTTGTGTACTCAGGTGAATAATATGTTTGTGATGTTACTCTGAGTGCATATCCACACCGGGCGAGCTAGAAAAATATGCCCGGCGACGGTGGGATTCGAACCTACGACCTTTGGAATACTAGTCCACATTGGTATTGGTATTGAAGGAACTAGATACTGTTCCGAAATATCACTTACTCGAACCGTCCTGACCGCGTAGCTCAGTTGGAAGAGCAGTATGGACTAGTATTCCAAAGGTCGTAGGTTCGAATCCCACCGTGGCCGGGCATATTTTTCAAGCTGTTGGTGTAGTGCACTCAGAGTAACATCACGATATTTGTGGTGTTACTCTGAGTGCATATCCACACCAGGCGAGCTTGAAAAATATGCCCGGCCACGGTGGGATTCGAACCTACGACCTTTGGAATACTAGCCCAATGCTCTTCCAACTGAGCTACGCGGTCAGGACGGTTCGTGTAAGTGATATTTCGGAACAGTATCTAGTTCCTTCAATACCAATGTGTTCTAGTAATATGAATTTTTTTTCTGTGTTGGTGTTGTGTACTCAGGTGAATAATATGTTTGCGATGTTACTCTGAGTGCATATCCACACCGGGCGAGCTTGAAAAATATGCCCGGCCACGGTAGGATTTGAACCTACGACCTTTGGAATACTGGCCCAATGCTCTTCCAACTGAGCTATGCGGTCAGGACGGTTCGAGTAAGTGATATTTTGGAACAGTATCTGGTTCCTTCAATACCAATATGTTCTAGTAATATGAATTTTT